CATCAATAAAAGAAGAGATGAGAGATATGTTGGCAGGATTTGTAGTCCAGATTAAATGAGATAATAAATTCATCTAGCAAATGCTGAATAAACATTAGTAGAAAGACAGAAGGAAACAGAAAAAGAGGAAGGGGAAGAAAATCTTGAAATATTAAGGAATTCAGGTTGCCAGTGCTTCTCATTTTCATTAAAGAATAGGAGAAAGTTGCCCCCCCCCGCCCCCCGCCTCTGAAGTGAACTAGCCCAATGCTAATTTCTAAATACTCTTTGTCTAGATTGCTATCATTTATGTAAATTTATTTCCTGTCTTATGGGAAGTTAACAAAAAGACAAGTCACATTGCCTAAGGCCCCGAGATGTTTGGAGCCGTCCATCCCTCAGGAAGGTCCCTTAGTAAACAGTGAAGGGCATTGAACAATGAGACTCTCCTGGGGCAAGAGCTCCTAATGCTATGGCTGCAATGAGAGAAACTGTGCCTCTAAGTAAACTGAACTTTATCTCCCCCCCTCCTCAAAAAAGAAATTTAGAAAGAACCACAGAGCAGAAGGGTAGGAGAGAGTAAAACTACCCATTGTTTTTTAATAGAATCCATAACAGTACACAGCCTCCTGATCTCCCTCCAGAAATTTCTAAAGGAAGAAAAAGAAAACTTTAGTGGCCATTGTTCCTGATGAGATGTTTTGGAGATGTCTGCTCCCTATGAATAGGTTTGAAGGTATGCAGGAGCACCAATCAGCCTCAGAGGAAAATGACCTAGTCTTGCTCCCCTTATTTGGTGATGTTTATTAGTTTTTTTTTTAATAGGCCTCTGCCCTCAGGAATGTTGAAATTGCTCAAGTATGTTAAAGAAGGTCAGCTCAAGCCTAACCAAATAGAGCAATTAATTCATCTCTGGATAAGGACAGTTTATGTTCTATGAGAAAAAAACTGTTCCCTTCTTACCCTAGACTATGCTTATGATTTTTCCATCATTTCTATGGATATTTAATTAGCAGAAAAGTTTTCTCCAGAGAACAGCCAGGTAGGCTTTTGTGTCAAGTGATTTCTTAGGAAATGATCTGTGTCACTCTGGTGATAGACATTTTGTTAGGAGGGAAGAGAAAGACACCACATCATTCCTGCATCCTACAAGATGCAAGTGTGGGATGAAAGCTAAAATACACAGTCTGTAGAATGGATGCAGCTGGGGAAGATTTTAAGTCTAGCATTGTTTTTCTCCATCAGAACCCTGGGTGAGGGTCCCCATATCCATATCCCCAGGAAAAATATGTTGATTTGAAAATATCAGTCTAGATGCAGCAATACTGATCACAATGTTACTGGAGTTTTAGAAATGCAAATGTTTGTTCTGAACTAGTATCACATAAACATAAGTGAAGAGCAGTATTAAGTGTTAATAAGTGTTAATGACTGTTAATAAATGTTGGAATGTGTGCCTTTAAATTAAAACATTGACAAAATAGGATGTTTAAAGAAATAGACAGTGAGAGATAATAGCAGTATTGTTTAATCTGACATGGATTACAATGCTGTTAGTTTCAGCACTGATCATATTGTATAGGAAATACTAGCCAGTACAGTAAGGCAATAAAAAGAAATTAAAACTATATAAATTGGAAAGGAAGAAGTAAAACCATCTCTATTCACAGAAGAAATTATTTTCTTTATAAAAAATCCAAAGGATTCTACAAAAACACTATTGGCACTAGTAAGAATTTTGAAAAGTCAGTTTTCAATATACAAAATCAACAGTATTTCTACAATATAGACTAGCAATAAACAATCAGAAATTAAAATTCAAAGAAGAACTTACCAAATATAATATGACCAAAAAATTTAAACATTTAAGTATAAGCCTAAGAAGTATGTCTAAGATCTGACTCTCGAAAACTAGAAAACAACTGATATTAATAAGCCCTAAATAAGTTAGAAAGTATACCTTGTCCATAGATTGGAAGACTAAATAGTGTTAAGGTTTTAATTCTCCCTAAATTGATCTGCAGAATCAAAGCAACAAAAATTCTAACAGGTTATTTTGTAGAAATTGACATTTAAAATGTATATGGAAAGGCAAGGAAGTAGAATAACTAAAACAGTTATGAAAACAAAGTTGGGAGAACACATACTACCTGATTCTCAGACCCATTACACAGCTATAATAATCTAAATAGTGGGATACTGATGAAAGCATAAGCACAGGCCTGAACAGAACTGGAGAGAATGTTCAGAAATAGACCCCCACACATAGTCAGTTGAATGTCAAATGATCCTAGAATAATTGGACATTCACTTGAAAAAAAAAGAGAACCTTGACCTCTACCATATGAACTAACACAATATGAACCACAGACTTAGTTTTAAATCTAAAAATATGAAACTTCTCAAAGAAAACAGAGAACATCTCTGTGGCTTTGAATTAAGCACAGGTTACATAGATACATTAAAAAAAGCATGATCCACAAAGGGAAAATTGATAACTGGAGTTTATAAAAGTTTTTAAAGCATTCTCTTTGAATTAAAAACACTGTTATAAAAATGAAAAAAACAACCCACCAGCTGGAAAATGTATTCAAAATACACTCAAATGTATATATATTCCTTTATCTAATAAAGTATTTGTGGCCAAAAATATATAAACAACTTTCAAAAGTCAGCAATAAGAAAATAAACCACCCAGTTTTAACAAGAAGTAAGGTATTTGAACAAACACTTCATCAAAGGAGCTTGATGAATAGCAAATAGGCAAATAAAATTATCCTCAATATTATCATTCAAGGGGGAAAAGCAAATTAAAACCAAAATGAGATACCATTATCCATTGGAATGAGTAAGATAAACAAAATAACCAAAAATAAAGAAAAAAAATGGCAATACTAAGTACTGCTGAAACTATGGAAGAGTTGGAAATCTTGTATACTGAGGTTGGGAACGCAAAATTATTCAACCTCAGGAAAAGAGTTTGGCAATTTCTTTATACACTCATCATATGACCAGCAATCTCAAGAGAATATAAGACATAAATACACACAAAAACCTGTGTGTGAATATTTATAGCAGCTTTATTCATACTGACCTTGACAAGGAAATAAACTAAATATCTTTTAGTTTATACTGTGGTATATCCATGTAATGAAATCCTACTTGACAATAAGAAGAAATGAACTGCTGGTACATGTAAGGACATGAATGAATCTCAAATGAATTGTGCTAAGATTCAGATTTACTAAGACTACATGGCATATGATTATATTATATGATATTCTGGAAAGAGCAAAACTCTAAGGATAGAAAATATATCAGTGGTTGCCAGGGCCTGGGAGTTAGGGGAGGAGTTGACCTCAAAGAACACAAGGGTATTTTTCTTGTGGTAAGAAACTGTTCTATATTTTGATTGTGGTGATTTACATGACCACATGCTATTGTCAAACCTCAGAACTATTAACTAAAAGAGATGAATTCTCCTGCATGTAAATTATACCTCAATAAAGCTGACTTTAATTTTAAAAAGATGTTTTAGAAACCTGTTTACTTGGAAAATATATTGAGGATCAGAGCCAAGTAAATGAGTTAAAAAAAAGCTTATAAGAAGGAAGCACAGCTACTTAATCCAGGATGAAAGGAACCTAAAGAAAAAAAAGGTTTTTAAAGAGACAGTGGTAATAATAAATTATGGTTAAGGTGTCTGCAAAAGACAGCTTCATCATGGCCTGAAAAATTAGAAATAATTTGCCAGCGGCTCTATAACTGAGAAAACTGAGTCACAGAGAGGGGTGGGCAAAATTCTAAAATGTCCCCACCCCATTCCTGTCCCCTGGTATACACACGCTCTATAATCTCCTCCATTGAATGTGGATGAGACTTGTAAATTCCAAGGGAATTTACTACCGTAATTAGGAGACTACTGAACTGACTCGGAGTTCATCAGAAGGGAGCTTATCCTGCCTAAGCTTGCCCTAACCAGGCTGGCCTTTGAAAGAGGGTCTCCTGCCATGCTGTGGACTGCCATGGGGGAGTCTCCAGGTAAAAACCCAGGGCAGCCTCTGGGAGCTGAGAGGTCTCCAGCCTAAAGTCAGCAGGGAAACAGAAACTGAATTCTGCCAAAAACCAGTGATCTTGGAAAAGGACTCCAAACCTCAGATGAGATCAAAGTCCAGGCTAACACCTTGATTTCAGCTTGGGAAGACTTTGAGACGAGAACCCATGCCCAGGCTTCTGACCTAGAGAAACTATAAGATCAATGAGTACTGGTTTAAGCCACTAGGTTCATGGTGGTTTTGTCGTGGGGCTGCAGAAAACCAATTCAAAGAGGGAATTAAAATGTGCAAGCCAGTTTAATCAGTGTGAATACTCTCATGGTTTTGACTCCAACAGCTCCTCACCTGATTGTGAGCCAGTGTAAATAACTTACATACATTGAATCAAAAAGCATCACAAAAGGTAACATCGTAGAAAGAAGAGGGAAAGGCTAAGGGATGATGTCTTTGGAGAATAATCTCCTTCAATTCAGTTCAGTGGTGGCCAAGAGAGCCAGGCACAGACTGCTGGAGGGGCCTTCCACTGCAGGTCCCTGGGCTTGTCTATCCCACATGCTGACTCATTGTCCCTACAGGCTTCCTTCCCTTCTCTACTTCAAGGCCATGACTGCAGAGGTCCCCAGGCCAACAGTAACAACCAGGGCAGAGACACCCTAGTGTTCACCAGACTTTCTTAACACTCATTCTTAACTCACTCACTTGTGAAGCTGGGCACCAGGAAATAACCACTCAACTTTACAACCACGAAAGAAAGCATGAATCATTCCTGAAGCATCTTTGCATATAGGTGAAAATAGCAGGAGCCCCACCCCCTCACCTCACAGAACACTACTTGAATGACAGGTTGTGGTATCTTGCAAATTAAAAAAAATTACAATTGTTACTTTCATTGTATTATTACTTCCTTTATTCCATAAAGTTGTTCATTCTAAAGGTCTTATAATGAAAATAGAACAAATAACTTACCTTGTAACTTTTTAGTCTGATGAAATCAACCTTCATAGAGACGAATCTATCTGAATTTCGACTGATGTTCTTCAGGTGTTCTACGAGATCAGCACAGAACTTGTACCCTCCTTTAAGCACACACAGGACCATGATGTCACAGCAGCCTATGTCTTTCATAATATCCTTAGCCAGCCGTTCAGTTCTGAAAGAAGGAATTAAAAAGATGTATTAAAGCATACCTACTGCTAAGTATTTTTGTTCCTTTTAACAAAACACATGATGTATGATACGTATTAGATTACACAAGGGAATGTGGAGAAGAGCTGGGGAGACAGAAGCCTACAGATAAAGAAGCATTGTTAAAGTTGGACAAAGAGGGAGTATTCAAAACATATTTTTGATAATCACATCATCAATAGCACAGCATTGCTCCTGTGTGTCGCAAAAATGATTAAGGTGTAATACATAAAGTCAAAGATCTTGGATGCTGTTATTTTATCACTACCACCAAGCCTGGTCATTAACCTTAATGCTGTGATGGCATATGCTGATAGTGTGCTTGTTTTATAGCAGAGAAAAAGGAAATGGAGGATGACTCATCCACCTTACAATGTTAGAGGAGAATGGAAGAAAAGTCAAGCCCTCAGTAACTATCAAGATAATAACATTTGCCTTTTATTTCACAAAAATAGCACATTATCCATGTAAAAGTTGCCCCAGAATACCATCCCAGCAGGCACAGTTTCCAGGGTTGCAAAGTGAACGATGCCTCCTAGAGTTACCCAATGATGAAACCTTGGGTTGGCACCCAGTACTCAATCTAGAACTGCCATTGTGTTTTGTTCTAGTTGTTTCATGTCTAGAAATCCATTGCCCATGTACCTGTTCAATATTAAACCTTGAGGGGGGCTAAGATGGCATCAAACTTACTTGAAATCTAATTAGATTTAGAGCAGCCATAACCAGTCTGTGTGGAGTCCCACATGACCAACAAGGGCAGGGAAATAGCTGGGCCCCAGCAGCTCTAGCCACAATGTTTTTTCTATCCCTTAAATAGTCACAAAACAAAAATCCTTTTCTATAAACACATCTTGGATGAAAGTAAATTCAGGCAGTGCTGGGGTCATGATTAAGTCATTTTTTAAAAGATTTTATTTATCGGGAGCTAAGATGGCGTCAGAGTAGGAAGGAGCAGATTCGGCTTCCCTCTGCTCAGGGGAGAAAATCCTGACCGATCTATGGAGTGGAGAAGCAAGCAACCAACATACTTCAGCATATGTGAAAATATGGGACCAAGGATTGTGGCAGAACCGAAAAACCGGACCCTAAGAAGAGTGCTGCAACAAGATAGGGTCCCAGGGACCAGCGTGTGGTCCGGGGGCTGCAACCCCAGGCCCAGGGCCCACTGCTGGGTTTGCCACAGAGTCCTTGGGAGAGAGCCGGGACAACTGCTTCCTCCCCAGCCAAACGAGGTCTGAGCGGCACTGGGAGGAATCTAGGTGCTAGCAAACACACAAGGGCTGTGAGCACCTTTGGAGGCTGTGGACACCGGAGAGGCTGGGTGGAGAAGCAGGCCCCGACCCTCACAGCCACTGGTCTGGCTGGAGAGTTCAGAGGCAGGAGAAGCCAGGCCACCGTGGGGAGCGGCAGGCTTGAACAGGAGGAATTTCTCAAGAGGAAGGAGTGAATAGACGGACACTGTTTAGGGAATTCTCCTAAATTGATCAGTCGCTCCAGCCTCCCTGCCACCCAGGTGTGGGTGCTCGGGCGCACGTGCAGACAGAGCATCCCCACACCCCAGTCCATAGCAGTAACCCTGGGGAAAGACCTGATTCCCACACCCAGGGCACAAGGCTGAGGAACCAGTGTGAGCTCCCCTGACTGAGGAAGAAAAGCCATACCAATCACCCCTCAGCCTGCCACAGCCAGCAAGAGCAGAAAAACTGGTTTGGCCACTTTGAAACCAAGAGACTTTTTAATATGATTCTATTTTTTTTAACAATTTTTAATTTTTAAATTTTTATTGTTTTTGATTCTCTTTTGATTTCTTTTTCCTCTCTTTCCTGATTTCTTGTTTTATTCCTTCCTCCTTCCTTTCCTCCAATTTTATCTCTTCTTCATCTGCCTTTTCTATTTTTACTTTTTAAAATTTTTTCTAAATACCTACAAGTGAGACACAATCCTGGATCTGTGAAAAGACCAAAGTTGAACCCAAAGAAGGGGCATCACAACAGCTGGGACAGTGAGATAAATTTCACTCTGCTATTACAGAGAACCTGCAAGTTATTGCATATTTGTATTATTATTATTTTTCCAGTATTCCTACATCTTTTTTAAATAGTATTTTTGTGTCCCTCTTCTTTTTGTGTAGTCTGCTTTGCTAGACTGGATATATTGTATGACCTGACAGCTTTCCCCTGATATCTCTTTCCATACTGTATTGCTAATCTACTGTCCTTTAACTCACCTGTGTCTCATTAGCACAATACTTGAGGTTCTGTACTCCCTATTCTTGTTACCTAGATCTCATAGATTATGTCATATGATTGTTGACATAATATTATTGTAAATAACTGCTATTCAATGCAATTGTAATTACTTCACACCCCCCCCCCACCCCCCCCCCCCCCCCCCCCCCCCCCCCGGCAGATCTTAGCCCATTTCAAAGTTTCCTGAACTCTATTACTGTAGTGGCTAACTCTATTCTCCCACACACTACACCTATTTACCATCCTTTACTCTCACCTTACCTCAGCATCTGACCTCCCACAACCTCCCTGCTTTATAGATCCAACTCACAATCCTTCCTTCCCCAACAAGAGTCTTATCTTCTTTCCAACCTTTCTAAAAATCAGCTAGCTGGGTGGAAGATCACGGTTAACACTATACATAGTCAAAGGATCTCCTATCTCTTCCCTACTTGCTACTACTGTAAATATCATAGAATTCTCTGTTGCTGTCTTAAACCATTTTGCCTTCCCCCTCCAAATGATGGCAAAAAAGAATAGGTGGAGGTGGTGAATACCCACTGGAAGAGGAAACCCAACAACAAAGGAACCACTAACAGATAACAACAGAAGAAGGTGAAGGAGGGAGTAGTAACCACACAAACCTCAATTCAGGACCTATCTGTAAATACAACTAAACAGTAGAGACAGTACCCAATACAAACAACTGAACAAGAGCAAGAGAGAATTCTTTAAACATTATACACACGGAAGAACCAGCTTCAACACAATCTGCCCTCACCAGCACAACAAAATACAGGAGGTGGTGGACAGAGTGACCCTCATTTAACCAGCTGGTGGGAAGGAACCACCAAAGAAAGACTCAACAACAATCAAAACCCAAAGGCAAACACAAAGCCAACTTAAATGACAGCCCAAGAGCAGTGAGCTTGGGAGATCAAGGAAACTGCACCACTGAAACTCACTGCTATTCTGCTAAAGAAGTTCACACCACAAACCCAGGGAGCCAGAACAGATCAATTTAAGAAGCTGAGGCTAACAAGAAGAGTCTCACAAACAATGGGAAGACAAAGAAACAATCCCCAAATGAAAGGAAAGGAGGAAGCCTCAGAAAGAATGCTAAATGAAATAGAGGCAATTCAACTATCAGATATTGAGTTCAAAGCAATGATTGTCAGGAAGCTCAATGAGCTCACAATGAGCTCACAACAAGCTACCAGAAACTACAGGGAAGCTACAATGAACTCACTGAAAACTACATCAGCATGAAAAAGGAAATAGAAACTCTCAACAAGGGCCAAGAGGAAATGAAGAATACAATTTCTGAACTGAAGAACACAGTAGAAGGAATGAAAAGCAGGATCGATGAAGCAGATCGGATCAGCAAGCTAGAGGACAAAGTAGAAGAAAACACCCAGAAAGAGCAAGAAAAGGAAAAAAGACTCAGAAAGAATGAAGAGGGATTAAGATAAATGCAAGACAATATGAAACATAATAATATCCATATAATAGGGATACCAGAAGGAGAAGAAGAAGAGCAAGGGATAGAAAACCTATTTGAAAAAGTAATGATGGAAAACTTCCCTAATTTGATGAGAGAAAAAGTCACACAAATCCAGGAAAAACAGACAGTCCCAATCAAGAGGAACCCAAAGAGGCCCACCTCAAGACACATCATAATTAAAATGCCAAAATTTCAAGACAAAGAGAGAATCTTAAAGGCAGCAAGGGAGAAACAGGAAGTAACATACAAGGGAGCCCCAATAAGGCTAACAGCTGACTTCTCAATGGAAACACTCCAAGCCAGAAGAGAATGGCAAGAAATAATCCAGGTAATGAGAACCAGAGGTCTGCAACCAAGGCTACTATATCCAGCAAGGCTCTCAATCAAGATAGAAGACCAAATAAGAAGCTTCCCAGACAAAAGAAGTCTAAAAGAATACACCTCCACTAAGGAAAAGAGAGAGTGAGAGAGGAACACACGTACATAAAAGGCAATGAATAAGTACCTATCAATAATAACCTTAAACATAAATGGATTAAATGCTCCAATCAAAAGACATAGAATAGCTGATTGGATAAGAAAACATGACCCATACATATGCTGCCTACAAGAGACCCACCTCAGGATAAAAGACCTGCACAGGCTGAAAATGAAGGGCTGCAAACAAATGGACAGGAAAAAAAAGCCGGGATAGCAATACTCATATCTGACAAAATAGACTTCCAAAAAAGGACCATAAAGAGAGATTCAGATGGTCATTTCTTAATACTCAAGGGAAGAATCCACCAAGAAGACATAAATATTGTAAATATAAATGCACCCAACATAGGAGCACCCAAATACATAAAGAAAATCTTAGAGGACTTCAAGAAAGATATTGACAGAAACACAATTATTGTGGGGGATTTTGGATCTCACTATCAAAAATGGACAGATCTTCCAAACAAAATATCAACAAAGATATTGTGGCATTGAACAATACCCTTGATGAAATGGGCTTTAATGATATATACAGAACTCTCCACACCAAAGAAGCTAAATACACATTCTTTTCAAATGTATATGGAACATTTTCAAAGATTGACCACATGATAGGACACAAAACAAGCCTCAACAATTTCAAAAAAATAGAAATCATACCAAGCATTTTCTTGGATCACAAGGGACTGAAGCTAGAAACAAACCCCAAGGAAAAAAACCCAAAACACTCAAAATCATGGTGATTAAATA